CAATTTGTCGAGATCTGTTGGGTGTCCTGACCAAACTTCTTTAGGTGTTTTCGTATCTAATGTCGTCGATGGGCATCTGTTTATCAAATATGTTGATGTCGAAACAGCCTCAGCCCAAAAAACCTTCTTTAACCCGACACGAGTCAACATGCATCTAACTCTTTCCAAAATAGTTTGATTAAACCTTTCTGCCAAACCATTTTGTTGTGGAGTACCTGGAGTAGTTTTGTACCTTGCAATACCTGAGGCAACACAAAAGTTGTCGAATGCCTCATTGCAAAATTCAAGGCCATTGTCGGTTCTCAACCTCTTAGCCTTTCTGCCAATTTAATTTTTACCAGATTCTTCCAACCTTTGAAATTCTTAAAATTTTCATCCTTAGCCTTCTGGATGAATACCCATAACTTTTTTGAAATACTCATCGACTATGGATAGAAAATACCTTGCTCTTGAATATGATGGACACCTTGCAGGCCCCCAAAAATCAACATGGATGTAATCAAGGGATCCGTGTGTTCTTTGTTTGCCTTTGTTGAACTTAACTCTGCAAGTTTTTCCAAGTACACAGGGTTCACAAAATTTAAGCTTTTTGACTTTGTCTTCACCAAGCAGATTTTCCCCCCAATTCGACCAGACCTCTTTCACTGACATGACCCAATCTCGTGTGCCAAATTCATGTCTTCGACAAAGCTTTTGTGGATGCAACATTTGTCGAGCCACTTACAACTTCATCCTCAAAGGTATACAAGTCTTGTTTCTTCGTGCCTCTCATGACTTCCTTCGACCCCTTCGTGACTCTAATGATACTTTTCTCTTCTTGAAAAACATATCCCTTCTTGTTGAATTCACCAAGAGAAATCAAATTTCTCTTCAAATCAGGTACATACCCGACTTCAGTCAATAGCCTTATTGACTCATCATGGAGCTTGAATCTCACAGATCAAATACTTGAAATTTTGCAAGCTTTGTTATTTCTCGGCAACACTGATCCACCATCTTGATCATACAATTCCTCAAACACTTCTCTGTTTTGAGTCATGTGCCAAGTGCAACCTAAATCCATAATTCACTCATTTCTTGAGTCGCTGCTTGAAACCACAAGGACATCAGATGAGTCAAAGTCATCTTGAACAATGGTTGTGTTGCCATTATCCTTACCTCTATGATCTTTCATGCGTTCAGGGCATACCTTTCTTGTGTGAACCTCCTTCTTACAGTGATAGCATCAAATATCAGATGCCTCACCACTATAAGACTTCTGCTGACTTTAACCTTTCTTCTTGTCGAACTTACCATCCTTTCGCAAGAGTTTTCTCTTAATGTCCAAACCTTCACCAATCATCGAAGGTTTATGCTTCTCTCTTTCGTTCAAGTCCTTAAAATACAAGGTTGATTGAACTTCTTCATAACTCAGGGACTCCTTTCCATACAGGAGAGTTTCTTTGAAGCGAGCATGTGTTTTGGGCAAAGCGCACAACAACAACAGTGCTTGATCTTCATCATCAATCTTCTCCTTAATATTTTCAAGATCAAGAATAAGCTTGTTGAACATATCCAACTGCTTAGCCAACACTTTGTCTTCACTTATCTTGAATGAATACAAAGCTTGCTTTAGTTAGAGTTGATTCACCAGAGATTTGGTCATGTACAAACTTTCAAGTTTCAACCATAACTCCGATGTCGTAGTCTCCTTTGATACCTATCGGAGAACCTTATCACCAAGGCTCAAACAATATTGTGATGTGGGCTTTCTCTATCATGATCATCTTTTCAGTTTCCGTTAACACATCGTTCATGGTTGCCTCTCCCTTTAACGCTTCCAAACAACCCTGCTGAATCAGTAAGACTTTCATCTTCAAACGCCACAGACCGAAGTCGTTCACTCCGATGAACTTTTCAATCTCATAGTTTGTTGAAGACATCTTTCTCCATGCTCACCGAACCAATTTGTTGTGAAAAATAATATCTTGAAACAAAGTATAAACGGTTTCTTTATGATCAAGAAACACACAAGATTTAAGGTTAATGGAAAAATAAGAAGAAGAACAACAAGGATTAGTTATAACTACTATTCTTTACTTTCTCTTTAAACAGATTACAAGTACTCAAGAATAACAAATAACCCTCTCACTATAATTAGGATTTGGCACACTTAAGATGAGAGACTAGTATGCTATTTATAATAAACCTAACATACTAAACTAATGAGTTTTTTTAACAATTACTCATTACAAGCTAACTTATGGTGCAAACTAACTTAAACAATTGGATCCTTAACACAAGGCCCAATTCGACAATTACATACTAGAACATATTTAGATTACAGCATGTGAGCAGACTTCGACGACACGTAAAATCTCTGTCAACGATACTAAAGTTCGATCTAATATGTCACAATTTTTAATATTTTTATTTACTCTTAATTTTTTATTAAAAATTCATCGAGTCATTTCAAATCTTAAAAATCCATAACTTATTTTAAAATTTTAAAAATATGTATTATAATTACTTTGAAATTCAAACTTAAAAAGCATGACTGTAAATCATCTTTAAAAAAAGTCTAAAAAATCAATATAATCTTAAAAAATCTTTTAAAGTCTTTGAGAATTTTTTAAATCAAAATAATAAAATTCTAATTCAATACACTTCTCTAAGAGTGTATTAACTTAAACTTTTTTATCTTGTTTTTTATATTAAAAAATAGGCTAAATACTCTTTTTAGTCCTTTAACAATACCTTTAGGTTTAGATTGTTCCCTTAATTATTTTTTGTGTCAGATTGGTCCCTTGACTCTTTAAAACGTATCATATTGGTCCTTTTCGTCTAATTAGCGACGAAAAAAATTCAAAAAATCCTCGCTGAATTTGTCGACAATTAGACAAAAATGATCAATATAACACGTTTTAAATAATTAAGGAACAATCTGACATAAAAAATAATTAAAGGACCAATCTAAATTTAATGGTATGGTTAAGGGACCAAAAATGATATTTTGCCTAAAAAATATATCTAATATTTTACAAGTAGATTTAAAAAAGATGCAATGTCAATGTAAAATTTTTACATTACTATCAATAAAAAATCATGATCTATAAGTTCTATTTTAATTGATAAATATTAATATTATTAAATTGATATTTGAATATGAACTTTTTGGTCTATTGTAGTGGATAGGTTCGATTATTTCATGGATTAAATCTTATCCATATATTAATGGTCATGCGTAGGCATGGTAATAAGGCAGGTCTGAGATAGTTTTTACTCCCCCTAAACTCTAACCCAAATCTAAATTTTAAAATAATCTTCGTTCCCCATTCTAAAATCTATCAGAAATTGAGAATAAAATCCATATCCGTCTCAAACAGATTCAGGTATCTTCACCCTACCACAATGTATTTAATGAAACCATTTATTTAAATAAAAATATTTATTTATTTTAAATAAAATTTTATTACGAATAATAAAATAAAAATATCTCATAAAAGATATTTTATGTACAAAAATTACATTTATAAATTTAATTAAGTGATGTTTAATATATGTACAAAAATATATGCGTGCGTGCGTGTGTGCGCGTGGGTGTGTGCGCGCGCGTGTGTGATATGAAAAATTTGAGAGCTCTAATCTCAATAACCAATTTAAGAGAAACAGGCTACAAAGTCATTTACGAATTTAATTATTTTTTATTTTGTGGATAATAAAAAATATAAACTTAAATATTCTTTTAGTAATGGTATTATGAATGTGAAGCATCCATAAATGTCGTCAAAACTAATCTTTTCAAAGAAGTTGATCACCATTAGTGAAATCTCACATCTCAAACACATTTTTTATAAGTAAAACTATGTTTAAAATATAAGAGTCAAAGTTATACTGCTCCAATTTTGAGAGGGTTCGTTGGGATTTTGTCATGAGTTTGTCCAGCGAATATTCGCCCTACTCTTTGTTGGTCGTTCGCACAATGAACATGCTGATTTTTTTTTTCTTTTTATTTGGCTTCCTTGTCCAACGAATATTCGCTACTACTCTTCGCTGGCTGTTCGCACAACGAACATGTTGATTCTCTTTTTTCTTCTTTTGACTTTCTTATCCAATTATTCGTGTTTTACACTTTGATATTTTTATGTCTAATTTCTGCACAATAACACACAAATTAAAGCAATCAAATGTATTTTCAACAATATTAAAAAATAACATGATATCATGGAATAAATCCAACAAAATATAACAAAAGAGTTGGAAAATACCAATAAATAAAAATCAAATTTAAAACAAATTTAACATTTACCATAGAAAAAAATTCAACAAATATAAAGTAATTGTAAACTTAATTAATTGAGAGCTCTAATCTCAATAACCAACTTAAGAGAAGTAGTTTACAAAATTATAAACGAATTCAATTATTTGTTATTTTATGGATAATAAAAAAAATATAAATTTAGATATTCTTTTGGTAATGGTATTATGAATGTGAAGCATCCATAAATGTTATCAAAACTAATCTTTTCAAAGAAACTGATCGCCATTAGTGAAATCTCACATCTCAAACACATTTTTTTATACGTTAAAACTATGTTTGAAAGATAAGAGTCAAAATTAGACTTGCACATATATAGTAAAATTGAGTATATATTTTTAATACAAATATACATTTTTAATAGGAAAATAATTTTCCATAATTGAATTGCCCCCGAGAGCAAGTGAGAGAGAGAGAGAAAGAGAGCAGCAGGGAAAAAGTTGGTTAGAGACTTACAGGTGGAATTGTGGAAAGGGGGTTATAATTTCATCACAACAAGTTGCAATTGCAATTTCAATTTCAATTTCAATTTAAATACCTGTCTCCAACTACTCCTTCAACTACAGATTCGTTTCCCAAAATTGGTAATCTCGTTACTCGCCAGCAAAGAGAACAAGAAGCATAAAAAAGAAACTGTGAAAGAAAACCTCAACGACGATGATAATGCATTCCGATTGATTTTCATCTTTCGCATTCAATATCTATGATGCTTTGTGGTTCATTCTTTTTCAATTTCAGAGGTCGTATTCAACCATGGATTCGCGATTACGATAGCCTTCAGTCTTTCGCTGTTATCCTCATTTACATTCAGGTAGTTTCACCTTCGTTTTCCCTTGATCAACAACGTTTTTCTTGTCAATTTGTATATGTAATTTGATGATATCAATGTGTTTATTGATAAATGCAAGATTGGTTGTGCGTTATTGGGATCCTTGGGAGCATCGTACAATGGTGTATCGCTTATAAATCTTGCGATTTCGTTGTTTGCGTTGGTTGCGATTGAGAGTAGTAGTCAGAGTCTTGGACGTACCTATGCTTTTCTTCTCTTTTGCTGTATATTGCTGGATATTTCCTGGTTCATTCTCTTCACTCGCGAAATTTGGTGAGTTGTTTGTTTTTTGTTTCTTTTATTTTTTATGCTGCTGTTCTTGAACTTGTTAATGTAGATTACATTTAAGAGTAATTGTTCAATAATTTGATTGCCATGTATATGCATTTCATACTTAGGAAATTGGTTAGAGATGACCGTGGCTTTTCTGTTGATTGTATGAATGAATCCTTTGATACTCTGATTACTTTTATAACCTTTATTGCTAGTATCCTTTGATCACCAATGGCAAGATGCCCTATGGTTATCGTGATTGCTGGATTTTCTTTATCATCATAATGCACTCTAGCTACATCACTGTCAATGTTTTTTGCACCCCAGAACTTTTTATCCATATGAAGCAACTGTAGTATAGAGTGAACAGAGTATAAAATATATGTTAATATACACCAATTTTCTATATTTGTATGAATCAAAGAAATGGTCCTGACTGTATTTGGATTCTTATCTGATGAAAATCAATGTGTTTGCAGGAATATTTCTTCGGACAGTTATGCAAAGTTTTTCATATTTTCTGTGAAACTTACCCTGGCTATGCAAATTGTTGGCTTTATAGTGAGGCTATCATCCTCATTGTTATGGATTCAAATTTATAGGCTCGGTGCATCCTCTGTGGACACAGCTTCTCGAGCAGCAGACTATGACTTACGAACTAGTTTTTTGAGTCCTTCGACACCTGCACTAGCGAGGCAACGCTCAAATTCCAATGAGATACTTGGTGGCTCTATATATGATCCGGCATACTACTCATCCCTGTTTGAAGACAATCAAGAAAACAAATCTACATATGGGGTAGGCTAATTTTTTCACAAAACCATATCTGTTTATATTTGCTTCAATGATTAATTTTCGGTTGGTATTGTTAAACGCTACACTTTGCAATTTTACCCTTAACCTATAAAGTACTGACATAGACACGTACACCAGACACGACACTGACATGTCGACATTGGTAAAAATTTGAAGAAATGAATTAATTGAGCATAATCACATGTGTCGGTGTCGGACACCAGACACGCCTTCCATCAGAAGTGTCGGTGCTAAATAGACTATACCAGTCTACAAAGAGGCAAAATTTTCTCTGGTATCTCAAGTGTACCAGTACCCTAACTTGGCAGTTATATTCAGTATTGGATTAAATCTTGTTGCACAATCCAGTGGTCAATAAAGTCCCAACAGGGACACAGCAGACATTACAAAAGTATCCTTAATATTGTTTTCTCTAATGATAAGAGAATAACAGTATAGAAGTTATTCTTGGTCCTGAAGTAAGTTTGCAGATAACTAACCTAGAAGCGTGTTCTGGGTAAGGGTGAGATATTTGGTACTTAAGAACGTGTATGGTTATGGATCTTTTCTGTTGGGTAAATGAATAAAGATAGATGAAACTGGTAATAGAGTCAGTCACTCTACCTCTTTTGAAAACCCTGTAAGTTTTATTGGAAATACATTGATGACAAGGACAAGGAAGAAAATAATACGAAAAGAAAAAGGTGGAAAAGAAAAAGGTGTAGTAAACAAAATAATGTTCTGGTCCTGGCGGTAGAATATCAATCACTTCACGTCCATCTGATGCATCTACTATCGTTATTTCGTATCCACCTTTTTCTTTTCGTATTATTTTGTTTACTACACCTGTTGCTGTAGCATTATAAACATTATTATTACTTTTGCTTCCGTCGGGATAAATCTGACCCCTTCCCCTGTTCCCGCCTACATATAGAGGATATTTTAAGAAGTAAACATCTCTCTTAGTAGCAGGATCTGGAGAAAGAATAGGAAAGGTAATTTCACTATATTTTTTCCCAGGAACGGGGCCTATCACAAGAATATTTTTTTTTGTGGGACGATAGCTTTGAAAAGACAAATTACCCATCTTTTCTTTAATCTCAGGCGAAAGACGATGAGGAGGGGCCAATTCAAAACCCACTGGTAAAATAAGAATAGCTCCTACATTCAAAGCCCCCTTTTTACCATTAGCAAGAACTTGTTTCACTTGCATATCATAAGGAATTCGCACAACTGCTTCAAATACAGTATCGGGAAGTACCGCTTGTGGAACCTCAATATCTACGGGCTTATTAGCTAAATGGCAATTAGCACATACAATCCGGCCGGTAGCTTCTCGAGGATTTTCATAACCTTGTTGGGCAAAAATGGGATATGCATTTGAAATGGGTGCTCGAGTTATTATATGGATCATGAGCAATACGGAAATAGATCGGGTAATATCTTTCTTTATCCAAGAAAAAGCATTTCTAGTTTGCATGGTGCAATCCTTGATCCTGAAAATTTCTACAATAAGATTAGGTAGGGAACTGGCACAGTTCCCTATCCATGATTCTGCTATTTACTCCAATTATTTGCCTATAATATAGGAAGAATACGAGTAAAACGAAAATTAATAAGTGAAATTTGGAATGTTTAGCTTTTATATAAAAGCTAAACAAATTTTAGAATTGGATCAATGGGTCCTTTTTTCAGTCATTCACGGAATGGAATTGAATCATAAATAGATAAAAGCGACGGAGATACACAATTTAAATAACGGAAAATCCAGTATTTAAAAATAATATTTAAAATGGCTGCCAAAATAGAAACAAGAAAAGATATAATATGATCATTCGGAGTAAATCCAAAATACTATTGTAAAGAAATTCCTAGAGTTCGAGGAACTGTTCCTCTTGGATGAAATGCTAAAGGAATACCCGGAAACACATTTACAAAACCTTCGTATCGAAATCTACAAAGCGACCATCCAATTGATTCAGACGAACAACGAAGATAATATCCATACGATTTTTCATTTCTTTACAAATATAATATGTTTCCTTATTCTAAGTGTTTATTCTATTAGGGGTAATCAAGAACTCATTATTCTTAACTCTTGGGTTCAAGAATTTGTATATAACTTAAGTGACACAATAAAAGCTTTTTCTATTCTTTTCTTAATTGATTTCTCTGTAGGATACCATTCGACTGGTCTTTGGGAACTAATGATTTGGTCTGTCTATAAAGATTTTGGATTTACTCCGAATGATCCTATTATATCTTTTCTTGTTTCTATTTTGCCAGCCATTTTAAATATTATTTTTAAATACTGGATTTTCCGTTATTTAAATTGTGTATCTCCGTGGCTTTTATCGATTTATGATTCAATTCCATTCCGTGAATGACTGAAAAAAGGACCCACTGATCCAATTCTAAAATTTGTTTAGTTTTTTATATAAAAGCTAAACATTCCAAATTTCACTTATTCATTTTCGTTTTACTCGTATTCTTCCTATATTATAGGCAAATAATTGGAGTAAATAGCAGAATCATGGATAGGGAACTGTGCCAGTTCCCTACCTAATCTTATTGTAGAAATTTTCAGGATCAAGGATTGGACCATGCAAACTAGAAATGCTTTTTCTTGGATAAAGAAAGAGATTACCCGATCTATTTCCGTATTGCTCATGATCCATATAATAACTCGAGCACCCATTTCAAATGCATATCCCATTTTTGCCCAACAAGGTTATGAAAATCCTCGAGAAGCTACCGGCCGGATTGTATGTGCTAATTGCCATTTAGCTAATAAGCCCGTAGATATTGAGGTTCCACAAGCGGTACTTCCCGATACTGTATTTGAAGCAGTTGTGCGAATTCCTTATGATATGCAAGTGAAACAAGTTCTTGCTAATGGTAAAAGGGGGCTTTGAATGTAGGAGCTATTCTTATTTTACCAGAGGGTTTTGAATTGGCCCCTCCTCATCGTCTTTCGCCCGAGATTAAAGAAAAGATGGGTAATTTGTCTTTTCAAAGCTATCGTCCCACAAAAAAAAATATTCTTGTGATAGGCCCCGTTCCTGGGAAAAAATATAGTGAAATTACCTTTCCTATTCTTTCTCCAGATCCTGCTACTAAGAGAGATGTTTACTTCTTAAAATATCCTCTATACGTAGGCGGGAACAGGGGAAGGGGTCAGATTTATCCCGACGGAAGCAAAAGTAATAATAATGTTTATAATGCTACAGCAACAGGTGTAGTAAACAAAATAATACGAAAAGAAAAAGGTGGATACGAAATAATGATAGTCACATGTTATGCAACCAAGTGATGAAGTTTCACACTTTTTTCTTCTTCCTTCCCTATTATAAGATGTGCCAAGGAGTGCTCTGTTTATTGGTACCAGTCTAGTCTCTATCATGTTTCAAAGGAGCACCCCACTCCTACCAACAGTTAAGGTTTCACACTTAAAAAAAGGGTGTCTCTTGTAATTTTTCTCAGGAACCTTCATTATAGTAGTTTAGTTTAATATTTTATTCATATTCTTGCTGTTCTAATAAACTTCATTCGGCTTTATCTATTTCATTTGATTGGTTGTTTCTAGATGCCCTGTCATGACATTGCCCAGAATGGGTCAACATCAGCCGCTGGAATTTCTCAGAAGATATCCACAGAGAGATCTTTTCAGGCTGTGGATGTAGGTGTTTTCTTAATACATACTCTTTTGTATTCTACTAAATTTTTGCAGTACCGTCAATCTATTGCTTTGCCTAGAACCTCTTTTACCCTGATCTCATATTAAAAGTTTACTGAGAATTTTGATCTATTACACAATATACCAAATGACACTGAAGGATGTCTTCTGTGACATTTTATTTATTTATGCTGTTTTTTTTTTAAACTTGAACTGTGCTCACTTTAGATGTTTGTCGTAATCATAGCGTATTAGCATGATCAGGGTTAAACTCTGATACTTTAAGAAGAAAAGTTTACTAAGTGCAATTTTATCATGCCTAGCAGGGACCTGCTATGTGTAAATTGTGAAACAACTTATACTTTCAGTTATGCTTTTATTCCAACGAATTTTCTTGTGTCCTAGTTTATTTTGGAGTTTTCACATATTGGATTCTAGGTCATCATGTTTGTAAGGGCTAAAGAGATTTTCTTCAATTGAAAGTTGATTTAAGGCAAAGTTAGTCAATTGTCTTCTCTGTATGGTTTTTTTAATGGGGAGTTATGTTTACATTGATGTTCTAGTTTTCCTCGTAATCTTATGCCCATTAATAACAACTCACTGCCAACTTGCCAAGGCTTTCAGATGTCTTTTCCTAGAGTATTCTCTTGATAATCCTATGTTTGTCTTTACTTTCTCCACTTTTTTTGTTTTATTAATTTTCAACAATGAGTATGATTGCTGATTAGTGCAAGCCTGGTCCCAAGGACATTGCAATTTCTCATCACCTCAGCTTGCTGTTACTTCTACCTTGACCCCGATATTGCTCTTCAGAATAGTAAATAGCCTGTCCACAACTTCATTCAATCCACGTTTTTCATTATTTTAGACATGATTCCATTTTAAAAACTACATGTGAATCCCTTTCCTATCTCTTGCACTATGTCATTCTTTATAGTGTTGTTTGCTGGTGCCACACATATCTATTTTGTGTATAAATACAGTTTCAATAAAATTAGATTAGATCATCCCTTCATATTTCTCACATTTGTTTCTTACTCAAAAGTTGATGGCGTGTCAGGTATCTTTACCCACCCAAATCAGAGCTGTCTAGTTGTTAACTTGTGTGTTTTTATGCTTGCAGGAAGAGAATGTATAAATCCCAAGATGGAACTTGTTTAAAACACAGACCGAAATGCATTGCTCTCACTTCTGTATTGATGTGCAGCAGCCTGGGAGTGTGGTATTGTATAATATGCATCTGTTGACAAACTTCTCATTGTAAATGTTTTGGCACAAAAGATAGTCATGCCACTGGTGCATTCTATGACGAAAATGACATCCAAGGTCTTTCCTTCAATCTTAATATGTGGAAACTCCAAAATATTTGATGACCACTGCTGCCTATCCAATATGTCTGAAGTTGAGCTTAAGAAACCAATATATACGTTTTTGACAGATCTGCATATGAGCAAGCAGTTTGGAATGCTGCATGTAGGTGGAAAATATGCCTAGAATTTGTTCCGGGGTTTTTCTTGCCTTTTTTTGACAGTATTTTTAGGAGGCTAGTTAGTGAATCCATAGTCAAAGAGGGGGCTTTTTTTTTTCTCTCATTTTTTCATTTTTTAAAACTATATGATGTTAAAGATGCTATGAAATCAGTTAGTGTTCATATTGAATTGAATGGCAAGCGTACAAACGTTGAATATGTTACACTTCCTGGTCAATACTAACATTGATATTGAGGAGTATAAAATACAAATAAGGGTAAAATCTACATTGACAAATTCAAAGTCCTTTAACTGGATATTTCATGTCGGGTTAAGTTTCAGCAGAGATTTGATATTTGACAGTATTACATAAGCAGTAGTTGTGTTAATAGTCATCACTTAAGTCACTTCTTAATTCACACATTTTCTATATTATTAAGGCTTTTCATCAAAAGAAGTTAAACACTAACATTAAGCGCTATTCGTTGCTTATGAAAAGGCCAAAATAGGCGCTACTTTTGGCTGTGCCTGAAAACAGAGAAAACAAGCGTTAGCACTTTTTGTTTCTACAATGAGGCTGACGATCCAAGTTCACGAACTAGCTTGGTTTATCATGCGTTGTCATCCTTTTGTCACTATAAGATTGTAAAATATATATATTCAATTTATTCTCTAAAATGCAGGAAATTTACCGGAAAGATTCTTTCAATAGTAATTCCTTTTATCAAAATGATTTTTTTCAGTAGTGTATTTTGGTCAATTTAAATATATAAAATGGTGGACTGAATATATATATATATATATATATATATATATATATATATATATATATATATATATATATATATATATATATATATATATATATATATATATATATATATATAATTTGGACTTTAACAAAGCCATAACTTGATGGACATGCATTTTATCATCAAATTTCAAAATGACGACATAATTAAATGTGAACATGCACACCGGAATCAAGAAGTAAATTGCATTAATTCGGAAAAATAATCAAAAGCCAAAAGCTGGCCGTATTAATACACCAAAAGATTCATACACGATCTCAAAAATGATGAGTTCACAACTTGTCTCAACAATAATAAGGAAACAGGGATATGCAGAGACGTGTAATATTGGGGAAACCCCAATATCAGCATATAATCGATGTTTTGCATCCAAAGTAGATTGGAGATGGTATAATATATGAGTTCATTATTTCCCATCATAAAAATATGTTGCCCAAAAAACAGATAAATACTTAATTTTGTGAGATCATTTCACGGTCAAGATTTTGATGATTGATGCAGTGCCCACGCGATGCAGAACCACAACAGAATCCCCGTTAACGCACAGTCCTTTTGTCTTGGCACATTGAAGGGCAAATTCAATTGCATCTTCTGTTGTTTCAGCATGAGAAGCTCTAGCAGAGGCTGCACTTAGTATTGGAATCAATCCTCGGAATATCAAGCTATGTCTTGCAGGGGACTCATCACTGCATGACCAATCAAAGGTATCAGTCGTAAGCTCAGGAACGACAACAGAAAGAATTGGTGTGCCTGGCCTGTATTTAGCCACCAACTTTGCAGTAGTCCCTCCTCGAGTTAAAACCAATATGAGAGCTGCTCTAGCTGAGTTGGCTGTTCTAACAGCAGAAGAAGCTAGACTCTCTAATGGACTCATAGGCACTGGTGAGTGCTGCATTATCCTTTTAAATACGTCTCCATAGTCAAGGGTGCTCTCAGCTTCAACACATATTTTAGCCATAGTTCGAACAGCAAGTTCTGGATAAGCTCCAGCCGCTGTCTCGCCACTAAGCATCACACAGTCTGTTCCATCCAGAACTGCATTGGCAACATCAGTAGCTTCAGCTCTGGTTGGCCTGGGAGATTTGATCATTGATTCCAACATCTGGGTTGCAGTAACAACCGGCTTTCCTTGGATATTGCACTTATAAATCATCACTTTCTGTGCGAGAAAGATCTTCTCTATTGGAATTTCCATTCCAAGGTCACCACGTGCCACCATAAATGCATCTGAATTTGCAAGTATATCATCAAAGTTTGCAACCCCTTCTTGGTTTTCAACCTGCCAAGTTCATTTTGAAGTAACAGAGAAAAAAGCAATTAGTCGTTAAACATAAGACGTACCAGAGATAGCAAGTATCAGTAGGAACTCAAAAGATAGTTTGCTTTTAAGAGCTTCCAAAATATTGTAAGATGATATCCAATAGCATACATCAACGCAGATGCAATAAGCATCTCTATGATATATCATGTGATCATGTATATTTCAGAACTCTTTAAAACATTTTTAAACGATAAAAAATCACATCTTTTCCATGAAATAAAACCAAAAATCCTTAATATACCTTTGACATTAGAAGAATGTTCTTAGCATGTTTTCCTAGCAATTTCCGAACTTGCACCAAATCAGAACCTTTTCGAACAAAAGAAAGCGCAATCATGTCAATTTTATTGGGAACTCCCCAGACCATTATATCTTCCTTGTCTTTCTCAGTTAAAGTTGGGAGATCCACTACAACTCCAGGCAGATTAACATTCTTTCTCTCTCCTAGAACAGCAGAATTCTCACAGCGGCATCGAACCAAACCCTGTTCTTTGTCACATGATAAAACTGTAAATGATATGGTTCCATCTGCACAGAGTATGACACTCCCGGGCTTCACATCATGAGCCAACTTTTTGTAGCTCATACAGATTGTATTCTCATCACCCTTTAAGCTATAGTCAGTTGAAATAGTTATCTCATGGCCTAGTTTCAGTTGGATAGGCTTGCCATCCTTGAGAAATCCAGTTCGAATCTCAGGCCCCTGCAGCAGTGTAAGTAAGTAAGTAAATACATAAAAAGAAAGGTACACGATGAAGGAACTTAAAAATAGAGCATTGCAGTGTGTTTAACTTAAATTTAATACTAGGCATCCATGATGAAAGTACCAAGAATTTGAGATGCTATAGTATTACTATTAGTACGGCATAGAGCAATAGCTTTACAACCATTTAAATCTATTAGAATTGACTTATTTGAGCTTATCTATAAACAGAGTTATCAATCCCAAATAGCGAAGCAGGGCGGCCGACACCACAAATGGGATACCGGATAGTTGGATAACCACGACTTGATTATTTTTCAGACTAATTAAATGAATAATAACTATAAAACATATATTTAATGAAAAAACAATACAAATAACACAATACGATAAAAGATTCGTAAAATCGAATATCAAAGCACAAGGCTTAATCAAAAAGTCTTAATCAAATTCAACAAGTATTAATCAAATTCAACAAGTCTTAATCAAATTGAAAACATCACATCTTATATTAAAATTCAAACAAACATAGAAGAAGATGCCATCATTGTCTATAAATAAAAGAAGATGACATAGGAATAGAGTTATTAAATTACTATTACTTTAAAAAATTAAAAAATCAAGACAGTATGAAGAGTAAAGAAAAAAGAAGAGAAAAAATAGAGGACATCGCTAAGAGTAAGGAAAGAAGAAGAAAGAAGAACAGAGAACTTTCAAGAACCAACCTGACAAGAGAGGGATCGGCAGAGAGAGAAGACGAAAGAGAGTTTTCTAAGTTAGGGGTGGAAGCGATGAGAACCAAAGAGAAACGCGTGAGGAAGTGAGAAGACGAATCCTCTGATTTCTAAGTCAGGGAAAACTGGGCGAAATTCTAGAAAAATGCCTCCAATGTATACTTCTTTAAACCGTGAATATGATTTTTCGCATTCAAAACAGACAGTGGGTTGAAACCCACTCCAGGCCGGAAAATACTCCGCTCCCGCGATCCGCTCCAATACAAAAAGAAGTCACTATCTCAAACCAAGACGCAAACTGCTACATCGTGGCGGCCGGCCACAACTCCACACCGCTCTCCCAGGATGGCACCGCAATTCCTGGGATTGATAACACTGTATATAGATCTCACACAAACTTGTTAGACTGTTTCGAACAGTACAAGAAACAACTTATAACAGGTGTATAAGTTATTTTCAGCTTATTTCCATAAACCCCCAAGATAACTTATAAAAACAACTTATAGCTTATATGCAAACAATTGACGTTATTCTATCTTTTGGCATAGAAGTTGTTTATACATGAGTTATATGATAAGCTTATGCTATAAACACTTAAACAAGTAGTTTTTCCAACAAGACCTAATCTTATCCTTCAATCATGTATAGATTGTAAGGTCACTATTAATCGCTTAAATTTAATCTTATCCATACATGTTTATAGATCAACCATCTAGTATCTTAAGTTCTAACTTGAAATTATTTGTATAACTCTATTGAAATCGGAAACATTGACGGTTATCAAAGGAAACTCAAGATGTATAATAATAAATAAAATAAAAGTTTGATACCTTAGTGTCGAGCATGACGGCGCAGAGAATACCGGTGTTCTCCATGGCCGCTCTAAGATTATCTAGGGTTTCCTGATGATACTCGTGGGAGCCATGGGAGAAGTTGAAGCGAGCAACGTTCATACCTGCTCGCAAAAGCTTCTCAACCATCGGCACAGACCTGGATGCAGGTCCAAGCGTGCACACGATCTTGGTTTTGGGCTTCGTTTCTGCTACTTTCGTCGACATCGTAGATCGGAGAATTTCTTCGTTTGCCTCTGTTGTGTTTTGTTACGCTTTCTTTGACTCTCAGATGAAATAAAGCTGATTTATATATTCTTTAAGAGAGTCGCACGCGAACGAGGTGTTTTCAACCAAACTATCTTTTCTTGACCAGGAATCAACCATGGTATATTATATTAACTGTCATTTAAACAAAAAAAGAAAAAAGAAATATCATGTGTTAATTTTTTAAAATATATTACTATTTTTATTTATTTATTTATAATAATCGGCATCATTGTTAAGGTTGTCATTTCTTTATTTATTTATATTTATAATAATAAGATAATGGCTAGCGTGGAATGCATTAGATGGTCCACGAGTGTCAACTTTAAAATAATGTTTTAAATTATTGAATTTTATTGATCTTTTAGATTTAATAGTGCATCATCAACAAATACAATTATAATATTTTAAATCTCAATTATTGAGCTACAACCCAACCATTCCTTCTAGTAAGATATTCAATTATAAAAAAAAGGTGTGTCGATAAATTTGGTATAACTAATTGTAATGTTATATTTATGAGGCTTTATATAGGAGTAATGTTGCGGTTTTTGTTTAGTAATTCATCGTCAGATTGCTATTTTTTGGAGTATGGAGGTTTGCCTTTAGGAGAGATGACGTGTATAATGTCGTTATCTTCTCACTAGTCATATAAGAATGTGTCATACCACGACTTTCTAGAAAACAAGTAGTCAACAGTCTCTCCGAATTAATGGAGAGCGGTTACCGTTTTCTAAGATTTCCTAAACCTTAAGCCTAACGCCCTTTATAAATATCTGACCTTTTGAGGGTAGAGACAAATCATAACTTAAATAGTATATCGCATAAAATAGGGCCTCTGGTCGCCACGAGCAAACCCTAACCGTTATAAAACTACTAAAGTCTCTGAGTATCCCCTATTAGTGTAAGGATACCACACAGACCTGTACTTTTTTTACCAATACAATGACGTCCACCGTGAGCCTCCTGTAAAACTAATATAGGCCACGCCTTCTTTTACAACTGCCATATTCCTTGTCACCCTCACTCTTGTACCCAAACATTCTCAATAATGGTTAACAAGAGAGCATATTCCCCTATGCCAGAGGACGCATGGGGAATAGTGATGTAAATGTCATGACGGAGATGCATCCCACCATGGATGAACTACGCTATCAGAATCAACCTAGAGAATAATGTCCTCAATCTTTGACAGTTCCAACAAGAGACTGATCCTCTAAGAGGAGATGAAAATACTGAACCCCCAACCACTCTCGAACAAAATATGGGAAGCATCTGTCCCTGAAGAATTCAAGCATCCCTTTTTAGCCAAGTTTGATGGGCACAATGATCCTTGTGAACATGTCGCCTCCATCAACACATAAATGGACATCATCAGAGGGCCTGACACCTTAAAGTGAAAATTGTTATCAGACATCTTTAGGGATGCAACCATGCGATGGTAAATGGGTCTACCCTGAGCTTTCATCGCCGGTTATCAAGAATTGATGAAGAAACTCGTACCCAGTTTGTCACCAACCGTCACAGGAAGATGTCCACCACCATCATGTTTAACATACGACATGGTAACTCGAACTTATTGATGGACTATATTGGTGTTGGCATGAAAGCCTCCATTAGTTAATGATGAATGAATAATAACATTTGAACCTTCTAAAATATATAGACCACATATTTTAGACCCTTTAGCAATAATCAATTCATCATGCAAAATCTTCAACACTTCACATTCAACTCTAATACAATAGCCTAGATCATCAAACATAATTATAGATAACAAATTTCGCTTGAGTTCTGGAACATACCTCACATTATGAATAAGAAGTTCACAATCATTAAATATTTTAAATCTGATTGTACCAATACCATGAACCTTGCATGCCTTATTATTACTAAGGCGAACTACTCCATCTTGCAATATCTTCAAAGTTTCAAAGTATTCTATTCTTGGACACATGTGATAAAAGCAACCTGATTCAATGACCCAACTATCTTCAGTTTAAAAACTCGATACTACAAGTGATTCGGCATCCTGATAATTTTCCTCACCCAATGCAACTACAGCTTGAACAAAATCTTCATTGACCTTTCTTTCAAGACAATCCCTTTTAAAATGATAGTTTTTCTGACAATTAAAACATTTTACCTTTGACTTGTCAGACCTCTTTGATTTGACATCCCTTTACGCTCACCTCCTCCTCTTGACACATTTAAGCCTTCACCACTATCTTCTATCTTCAAATCTTTCAACTTTGAAAATTCGTTGGATTTCATCGCCGTCTGGACTTCATCCAAAGTAATAGTACCTTTCTTACCATAAAGAAGGGCATCCTTAAAGGGATCAAAGGATCTGGGTAATGAACTCAACAGGAGCAAAGCCTAGTCGTCATCATCAATCTTCACTTTAATATTCTCAAGATCATCGATAATCTTATGAAATTCTATGAGCTGCTCAACTATGGATTTGTTCTTCACCATTCAGAATGAATAAAGTTGTTGTTTCAGATACAACCTATGAGGCAAAGACTTTGTCATATACAATGATTCAAGTTTCACCCATATAGCAATCGTAGTTTTCTCCCTGGTGACTTCTCTTAGAACTTTATCTCTGAGGCACAAGATAATGGCACTCCTGGCCTTATCCATCATCTCGGTCTTTTGTACCTGTGTAAGCCCTGCAGGAATCAATTGTTCACTCTTCAAAGCATCGATATACTTCTCTTGAATTAAAACTGCTTGCATCTTAATTTTCCACAATCCGAAGTCGTTGTCACAAAAAAATTTCTCGATCTGCCATCTACTAACCATGGTGCTCACTTGTTAACAATATCTCTTTGCTCCACGCTCACCGCACCACTTGTTGTGAATTACGACAAAATTCAATATCAATTTCTGAGGAGAAGAACAATAGGAACCAAAATAAATGGTCTTCAGCAATAATAATCCGTTCATAGATAATATAACAGAATAAGGCAAGAAAAAACCAAAGGTTTGTTTACCTAGTTCGATCAAACAATCTGCTCTGGGGGAGAGAGCAGCTCTCCAATTCACTATACTTATAAATTTGTTACAAGAAATTACAGATGAGTTACAAGAAAATAGCCTTCGCCTTCAGGTTCCCAAGAACAAACCTGAAGGCGCCCAAGAACAACTTTATTTTCTACCCAAGTGTTTCCCTATCTCTCCAACTCTCAATATATGAATCACTCAAACCCAAGGTGTAATCCAAAGTTTTCTTTGTGCATAGCTGAAACCCTATGTTATACCTTTAAACCCTTGGTCTCCCTTGTTGGTGAAAAATTTAAGATTGTCACACACCAAACATATACCCATCAAACAAAGCTAAAACAAATCACATGGATCCATGGACCGAATCGAAAAAAGCCCGAAAACTTGAAAACATTAGTCACCGTATGAACAACACTATTCATCATACGGATATCATTATTCATCCATACAGATAATACTATTCACCGTACAGGCGTCACTATTTACCGACCGATTTTTTTTCCTTTTCTCGACTTTTCGGCCGACTTTCTAAAACTTCTAATTTTCGTGGTGAATGCAATCTCCAAAATATATTTTCTTTCTCTTCATCAACAAATATTTTAAGACACATTTAAAACAGGTATAATTCAGTTTTAATGGTTCTGTCTCGATATAACTATATTTGATGTCTTGTCATATTACCTTCAGATTTGGTGTAATTAAGTATTTAAATAGATTGGCTAGAATTACATGCTGCTTTGGTTCTTCTTATTGTTGTTGCTCCTAATCAATTTGCAAAGCAGTTTAGTAGGGGTGGTGGTATGCCTTATAATTGCATCTTATTTGCTTCAAGAACATACTTGGTGTTTTTAGAGATTCATTAACAAAAGATCATGGCATGACATATCAAATTTAGTGGTTTTAGAGATTCATTAACAAAAGCTCATGGCATTATCAAATACAGTTGGCATAATTCTTCTGTTACTCTATCCCATATGGACATTTTTTTCTCTATATTACTAAATAGGCATAAACATAGAGTGAAAAAATTGTATTTAGTTGATGCAAGTGTAACCATTTGGCTTCTATGATATTCATTTGATCGAAACTGGTTTTAGAGACTTACATGTGTTCATATATAGTTTGTATGTGTATAAATATAAATTTGAATACTATTTTGGCTTCATTAACTTTTAAGAAAATGTTAAGTATTGTTGTATGTTTGTATCTTATTGTGTTCTCACAATTTGAATATTGGAAATTATTGTACTTCTATGATATGTGATAGAATTTGGCTAGCATGTGGATTATACGCCATTCTGTTTCTTAAAGTGAATTCATTGCTTGATTCAACTATAATAATTTGTATTCATGAGTCTCCCTAATATTTAAAATTTACAAAAGTTAGTTATCATCCACAGTAGACATTACTGGAATTCCCTTACTAGAAAAGCTTGAGCAGATTACTCGCATCTCATCGTCGATGTTAAAGTTCTTTTTGCTATCTTCCTGCGATACAAAACAAAAATAAGTTAGCAAGTGATTGACAGAAAAACAACAGTATCCGCAATGTTACCCCGACGTCGAAATTCATCGCCGATCTTATGAACAGACACAAGCATAAAAACAATGATTCATAAAAATAGAACTACAAACTAAAATGAAAACCTGAACACGGATTTAAACCATCTGTTTTGTGAGAATGGAACAAAGTTAAGGCCAGAATATTTCACACTGAGAGTACTCATAACCGAATCAAAACTTGCCTATACTGGTTACAATCACTAGAGACACAAAGCTTGAAACAGGATTGAAACCGAAGCCAATAATAAACCGAAAAATATTTTGAATTGTTGCCTCGAATTTGGATCCGAATCAAACAATGGGTCCCTCTTGAACGATTTCTAAATACTTGCCTTGTTGTGGCAGCTACTACAGAGCTTGTTGGGTTGTTTACAGCTTGGCTTCGTTAC